GAGGCCTTACGAGTCCATTGCAATGGACTTCATAGTCAATCTACCCCTCTCGAATGGGCACAACGCTATCCTGGTGGTAGTAGATCGTCTGGTCAAGCACGCGACGTTCATACCATGCAGCACCTCCTTAGACGCCGAAGGATTCGCGAATCTATACGTGGAAAGGGTGGCTCTCAAGTTTGGAGTCAGTCAGAGCATCATATGCGACCGGGACTCCCGATGGAACTCTGAATTCTGGCGAGCCGTGGCCAAACGCATGAAAACGCATTTATCCTTCTCTTCAGCCAGACATCCACAGCACGATGGGCAGACAGAGTCGCTGAACAAGCAGCTAGAAGTCATGCTGAGAGCGTATGTGGACGGCGATCGGCACGCTTGGGCAGAGTGGCTCCCCCTTTTGGAGTTCGCATACAACTCTAACCCGCACTCGTCGACCGGGGAATCCCCCTTCTTTCTGCTGTATGGGTTCCAGCCGTCTTCACCCTTGGATAGTCTTACGGCGAACAGATCCGCAGCGCAAGCTGGAGGGCCCCGCAATTCGAGCCTGGGAAGGAAAGAGGCTGGAGATTTCATGGAACACCTCGCGATGCACCGAGACAGCGCTAAGCGCGCCATAGCCCTTGCGCAGGAGCGACAAGTTGTGCAGTACAACCAGCAACGCCGCCCAATGCCTCAGTTCAAGGTGGGCGACCGCGTGTTGGTCAACCCCCATTCCCTAGAATGGATCGAGTCCAAAGGTGGGGGGGGCAAACTGGTGCAGCGATGGATAGGACCCTTCGAGATCCTGCAGAAGATCAATCCAAGAGTCTTCCGCCTGAGGTTGAAGGGCGAGTATCCCGGCTCGCCCGTGGTCAACTACGACCACCTGAAGGTCTACCACGAGTCCCCCAAGGAAATAGGAGACAGATCGCTCATGAAGGCCACGAGGGCCGACCTATGGAGGGAGGACGAGAAATCAGTGGAACGCTTAGTGGGGCACAAATTCCTCAAGAAGGGCAAGGAACTGCGTTTCCTGACCCGGTGGGAAGGCTTCGACGCGAGCCACGACGAATGGCTAACGGCGAGACAACTGCGCAACGCCCCGAGGCTCGTCGCGCAATACAAGGCTCGCCATGGCTTGTGAAGTACGACGCCAAACTTCGTCGATCCCTAGGAACCTCACCCTCACAACGCCGGTTCCACTTATACCTTGCATATATACATACCCACTCTATAGATCATACCACGTATATTACTATGCTACTACCTATACCAGTATATTACTACGCTACTACTTATACCCGTCGCAGAGCTACCCGACACCACCTCGTGATCACCATACGACCTCTGTATGGTGGAGTTTGGCGGGCACCGCCTCCGATCGCCCCCCTGCACGCGCTGCTTCCTGCTCTCACGAACGACTCACTGGTTCCCAGTGACTCGATTCAAGAGTGGACCGTTCTCCTCCTCTCGAGCTCCTCGAGACGTAGGCGACACGAGGAAGAACACGCACCATGGGCTCCCTCACTCCCGCCGACCGCGTCTCCCTCTTCCCAAACGTTGACTTCAAGGATATGCCTGACAAGGGCGTTCAATGGGTCACCCTGGGCTCGAAACCGTTGGAGCCGACTACGGTTCTGCGTGGCCTCGCGGACCACCGCTTCGATGAAACCGCCGAAACGATACGCCCACAGAGCGTTCAGGCTTCAGGAATGGCCAGCGACGGGCCCGAATGGGCTTACGACCGCACGTTCTTCGACCCGAAGCACCGCTGGCGCCTCTGCATTCCCGTCGCAACCGACGCCCCTAACCTGCCCTGGTACCTCCGACGCCCGGGAGAGAGAGATCTGAGAGGGCGGCCGGACGCCAGCGGAATGGGCTACGAGATCGAGAATGCTCTACGAGAACGGATGAGCGCCGACTTGGCGGACGCCGAGCAATGCGCGCTCTCTATGTGCCGAGCTGACCCGTCTATGAGCAAACGGACATGTCCCACGTCCAAGCTCCTCCCGACCGAGCTCGATCAGACCTGGCGCAACAGCCAGGACGCGAAGAAAACTCTCATGACTTGGAGGCGAGCGACTCTCGACGCTCTGGGATACATAAACTGGGTTCGTTTGCATTGGAGCGACTGGACGAGCGGGAACGGAATCGACAAGTGGGTAATCCGCCACGTGGAGGCCTTCGAGCTGGACAAGTGGAAGAAGAAGGGGGCATTCCTGGTTCCTTCGAGAGACGCCCTATACTCGAACTTTCCGTTCTGGATTGAACACGACATCCCTATAGGATACGCGTGGTCGAAGACCGAGGAAGACCTTCCTCACCTAATCCAGCTCCACCCACGACTCCTCGCCACACTAGACAGCGGTCTAACCGCCGCGCCCGTATCCCGCTCCCTTCATATCCCAGCGGACGCCCGAGAAGACCCCCTCTACGGGCGACTTACGCGTTGGGACGCTTGGTTCGAGCCCGTAGCCGGACGGCTGGAATACAAGAATCTCATAGCTCGTCCTAGCAGCAGAGAAGTCTACATCGTCGATTTCGCCGGGTGGTTCCGCAGGAACGTCTCGGACAAGAGCAAGAAACGCAAGTGCGATCAGCTATGGGCTACCCGGGAACCCCCGCCGGTCTACCTGGGATGGAAGGGACCCCGCAGCTACGCCCTGCAATACGCGAACCGAGGCGAGGGAAATGTGGGCGAGACGGACGACGAGGGCGACTCCTGGTACTTGGATCGACCATTCCTTCGCGAGCATTACGCCGCTACTTTCGCTCCGGCGCTGGGACAAGTCGTAGACCATTTCACGGGCCGGATTATGCAGGAGTGCGACAAAGTGGAACTTTCCCGCGCCAGCTGGAGGCTGAAGTTGGAGCAGTCCTCCATCCTCTCCGACGAAGAAAAGGTCGACTTGCGAGAAGGTGGACGTGACCTGGACGCTTTGGGAGAGTGGGCTGACCGGATCTTCGCCCCGAGGAGCGATACCCCCGCTCCGAAAGACGTGGAGATGGTTCCCGTAACTCCCCCGGGACCCGTGCACCTGCTCGGGCAGCGGGACGAAGACGACAAAGAAGTCTCGTGGAGCGAAAGCGAGGTCGGGATGGAGGTGGACACCGGGAGAGTCAGGGCACCGGCCAGCCTCCCGACCGTCGAGAGAGTCGCCCCCCCTCCTAACGCGCCAGTTCAGGACACTCCGGAGCCCAGACGGGAGCCGCAAATCGCGGGTCACACAGAACCCAGGAGGGAGTCTACGCTAACCTGGGTGGAGAAGATGCAGCGCTCATCCACGAGTGTCCCGGCTGCCACGGCCCAGCTCTCAGCCGCAGACAAGGGCAAAGCCCGGGAAACAGCCGTTTCAACTCGAGGGAGCCACTCCCCGAACGAGCGTCGGCGCCCGGTAGTCGAGGCCGCTCGCGACCGGTCCCCAGTTCGAGGACCGCGAGAACGAGCTCGGGAAGCTCCACGAGCTCCCCTCGCTGACCGCCTAAGTGCCCGCGAAGAAAGGCGTAGCGACCGCGGTGACCGACGCAGTGAGGGTTGGAGCACCGACAGGCGGGACCGGCTCATGCCATCGCGTAAGAACGATTGGCTCGACCTCATCCTCTCCACGAAGCGAACGGTGTCCAGCCATACCTACCACTGCATTCAGAGGAGGCCAGTAGACATGTGGCGAGATCGCTGGCTGCAGGACGCGATCCTAATCATTCCGGACAAGTTCGCCGAGGTCAAGTTTCGCTGGTGGGCAGCCACCAAGAACCTGAGAACTCCAGCTGATCTTCTGAACCTCGCCGTGGAGAGGTGTGTCCCTTTCCGTCTGGGCCTTCCTCTGGACAAGTTCCCCAACTACGAGGGAGAGAACGCCGGGTATACCGCCGCCAGCCGCGCCATGCTTAAGAGGGAGTACGACCAGCCCGCCGAGCGCCTGTGGGTCCCGTGGGACATGAGCCCGGATCTATACGTACGGGACTACCTAGCCAAGATCGATTCCATCCTGGCCAAGCCCCATGCTCGCGGCTTCATCGCTCTCGGCGGTGTCATCGCCTGGATCGCCCACAAGTTCGGGCAACGCCCCTCCGGGTCCGTGTTAACCGAGTTCATGAGCGGACCTTTGGTGCGCACCACCTTGTGCAAGAGCGGAGAATGGGATTGGATGGGGCCTCAAGCGACTAACTCGATGATGGAGCGGGTAACCCCCGCCGAGTGTGCTGCCCTACTAGGGACATCCGAGTCCCCGGATCGCGGAGGCATCGTCTACCAAGTCTTCCCTTCCACCGAGTGGCTCTGGGAAGACTTCCCCTCGTACAACGGGGAGATCACGCCAGAAGTGGACGCCTTCCTCTCTCTCATTGCCAACGAGTTGCTCGGCATGGACCCCGCTGGTAACCCCAGGACTGTCAAGGTCTCTCGGCGCACGCGCGTTCAGTTCCGGAACCTGCAGAAGCAGAAGGCTAGGGCCCAACGAGGAGTTCCCGGGGCGGATGGGGGAGCCACGGAAAGCGACTTCGAGACCTTCCACGAAGAGATGAGGCGTACCTGGAGCACGAGCTGGAATGGGATCAAGCTGAGCGCCTTGGATTGCAACGAGCGAGAACGGTGAGGGCGCACGCCCGAGAATGGGGGGCTCTGTGACACGGACGGTATTTCTTGATTCTCGTACGCACGCTTACATAACTTTACCCTACACACTGTATATTCGTAAGCGGCTGAGCCATCATCAACTGATGGCTCTACAAACAATAGAGCACTTACTTCTTCACATCTGACTACCACGGTCCCTTCGACCTCCTCTCAAAGCGACGTTGACTGTAGTCGACCGGGGCCCAGCAGACTGGGTATAATTCGTCAGGATTAGGATTGTGTATTAATCGGAGCCTTCCACTTGGTGGTCGCCTCTCGGCTAGACTCTACGTTCGAGTTCCTCGAGCCTAGAGACTACGCCATAATTTCTATATTCTCCTAATTCTACGTTTCTCTTTAATTCGGATTCCGCTACGTTCTCTAGTGGGAAATTCCACCTGCCGCGTTACATGAACGCGCGGATGTACGGGTCGGTGGCGGGCGGGTCGATCGCGCGGTAACCGTACGCGATCCGGAGCATGATCGATGCGGTGAGGCTGTTTGCTTCACTCAGCGGGCATCGCGATGGAGCACACACACACAAGGCGATATCTGCACTGACCGCTCGACGAGATCAAAGAGGTCCGGACGCCCACCCGCGGCGTCCTCCAGGCGCCGCAGCATGCGTGCGATCTCCTCGCGCATGACCAGCACATGTGCGCCCGGCGCACTCAGCAGCGCGTGCAGCATCCGGCGTTCCGTGCGCACGCGTGGGCCGTACTGGCACAGCGGCAGCGCGCCGTCGTACCCCACGAGCGCGCCGGCCATCGCGAACGTCGGGCGGCCGCTGAGAGCCGCGCCGTGCGTGTCGAGCAGGTCCGCGGCCGTGTCTGCGCGGTCGACGACGATCATTGGCTGGCCGAGGATCTGCAGCGAGAAGAGGCCGCCGGCTGCAGCGGGCGGTCAGTGTGCGGAGAACGGATGTGGATTGGTGCGGGGCGTACCGTATCGCTCGCCCAAGGCAGCGAGCGCGAGCCACGGCGACTCGGCCGGGACATCGTGGATGTTTCCGAGGATGGGGATCCCGCGGGGTCCGGGCGGCAGGGGAGGTCTCGAAAACTTTCTCCAGAGGAGGTGTGAGATGTACACCGCGGCTAGCGTTGCTGTTGGGAGCAGGGTGAATGAGTAAGCCATGCAGGGAGCGCGTGAGAGGCGATTTTGCGATCTACACTTGCATGCGAAGAAGCCGAGATAGCAACTGACAAACTGACAAGGAATCCAGACTTCACATACCGGCTTGCGTAAGTGGCTTGCCCCGCATGTCGGAGTTTGAATTTGGCTGATCGGGCTTGGCTTGCGTGGCTTGGGCGTGGGCTTGGCTTGTGCATCATTTTTGCTGACGGAAATATCACGCTCGTCCTTCGGCTCGCTTCCGCCGCTGCAGCTCACTTCGCATCCTCGCGCTCAATCAAAGTCAACTTTACTGGTGCCAGTGCTCAACGGCTGTCTCCTCAATCTCTTACACCACCCACAATGCTATCAATGACGTCGGGACTGACACGCTAGACCTCCCTTTGTTATCGCGCATGGGCTGTAGTACGTAGTTATCGTCTAAACCCTCTTTTTTCTTCCCGGAGTCACTCGAGCCTTCTTTTGAGGCGGCGCTGGTGTCTTGCTGGCCGGCGCAGCAGCCCTCTTGCGCTGCTGCCGCTTTGGTCGTTTCTGAGCGGGGAGATCCTCCTCTTGTTCTTCCTCGGCGCGTGAGCGTTTGCGGACGCTGGCGACAGTCACAATGTCTTTGCGCAGCTTCGGTCGCTCCGGGGCTGCGGGTTCTTGTTCTTCCTCGGCGCGTGAGCGTTTGCGGACGCTAGCCACAGTCGCAACCTTCTTGCGCGGCTTCGGCTTCGGTTGCTCCGGGGGTGCGGGCTCTTGTTCCTCCTCGCTACGCAGGCGCTCTGGAATCACTGCCACGACTGCATCCAGCGGCGCGGCACCACTAACCCGGCGATAGACCGGCCAAGTATGGTGCGCATCATATGTGCAATGATTTGCACGAAATTTTCTTCGCGCCTCCCCCAACTCATCCACCGTATTCCAGCGGACCCGCCAGATTTGGAACATCGCTGATTCGACCGCATCCACGTGCTTTGGGGGACAAGCCAGAATGGATTCCGAGCGAAGATCGTCGAAAGAAGCACCGCCAGCGTCAAAGGGCTCTCCAAGCTCCCGCTGGACGAAGAGGAGGTGGAAGAGAACGCAACCGACGCTCTGCACGCGCTCATTGCGTTCATGGAAAGGTATGTCAGCCAACGTCGTATGGATCATCAGCCGGGACAGTGCATACCCGAGGGTCTGATCGAGTTCTTCAGTGAATATCAGACCCAGCTTCGACGCCCAAGAATCGGGGCCGAGGTGTTTCTTCTTCTTTCGTTGCTCCCTGCTGTAGCGAATCCAGGCCTTGATAACCACATGACGCTGGTCCCACAATCGGAGGACATTGCCAACGACCGGGATAGCAGCGGAAAACACTTGAGCAAGGTTCGAGTTCACATGGATCTCCGCCTTCGGATTGAGGTAGAATGGGACGCGATATGTCCCTATCTTTGTAAGCCATTTTTGATTAGTATTATTGGAATAATCCTGTAAGTGGCGCACCTTTGAGTCTGGGACTTTTTCGCGTCCCTTATCAATCATATTCGAGTAGCGAACAAAAGTTGTATGAGGCAGAAAGTGTTGACGGCGGAGCGTGCGCCCCAGCAGAGTGATCGGGGCGATCATTCGGGACTCGGATCAACTCCTGAGTGAGGTACTATATATCCCATTTTTCACCGCACACGTACCTCAGTCGTTTACCCTTACCGACTGAGGTACGTTCTTCTCACTTATCACCCATACTAGCTTAGACTTATCGCATCTGTAGACTAAGATATCTCGTCTACAGGTAGTTACCAAAAGAGTCGTTTACCCTTACCGACTGAGACTAAGATATCTCGTCTACAGAAAGAAATTATCCAGTGCAATGGTCCCCATAGGCCATTTCCTGGAGGTGCACCTGTTGAAGCTTGTTTGTATTAGCGACTATCACAGTATGTAGACATGACATCATAAGTAGTATTCTTAGATTACTTTGGCTCGCTCCACAATGACCTCATACCTGACCTCATTATTGCGTCATCCATTACTCATCTATGATATCATTACTCCACTATGACATTATGATATCTGCTCCAGACTGGTATATAAACCTAGTACTATACGCTCCATATCCTCAGCTCCTGTGTCTCTACACTCGCTGAGGTATGCATTCTCCCTTACGATCTAATGACCTTACTTATGACTTGTACCATAGACTCTGTCTTATAGGTACAGCTAATGATACAGCTCCTGTGTCTCTACACTCGCTGAGACTCTGTCTTATAGGTGATCGCTACTGGTCGTATCTCCACTGCGCGGTATTGTCTGCGACAGGTTATGGGCCCCGCCTGAACCACTAGCGGCAAATCAAGAAACATCGAACTACTCCCTTTACTAAGGTGAGTATCTTTCACTCGTTCAGCCCTTCTAGAGCGCCGTCTTTGTGCGCTCGTCCCACTTGCTGGATGTCGGTCCTCGCATTTGTGCTCTCACCCTCAAGGGGTTACGCGAGCGGCGTCAGGGAGTCATTCAGTTGGCAGACGCGCCGTTAGCTATTCCGTCCATGATTGCTCGCGCGCGTTTTACGTTACATCTTTTTATTGTACAGCGGACATACCCACCAGGCACTGGTCCTTTGGTCAATCCCACTCCTGAACCTTGCGCGAAGCGCCTAGGTGGTGTGGTAGCTCTCAACAGCTGCTGGAGGTCAATCCCTCCGCCAGGCAAAACAATCCTTCGGGGTTGACTCGCATTCCTCACAAGGGACCCTGCGGGCTGGTGACACTACGAGGATTCATGCAATGACGCTCTGCGTGTATGCATGTCTTTAAAAGGGAGAAGATGGGCGGTCAAACCCGGTGCTTGGGACGGCCTTGGGCACGTGTCCCTTGGCCAGTGACGGACTGCGAGGGCAGTAATCACTGTTGGGTACTGCCGCCGCTGACGTATATAGTTACGTTACCTTGATACAAATATGGGCACTTACTATACCGCTTTATTTCGTTATCATTCCCCGCGCGTATATGGGCATCATGGATGGGATGGGGACGCTTGGTCGTTCTTGTTTCAGAGATTTGGCACTTGGGATTTGTTTCTTGGTCTGCAGAGAATCTGGGGCTGACTTCATCGCTCTAGTCTCCATCTCTATCACCCTGTCATCACCAGACGACCCTCCCGTTGGGGTTATCCTATTTCCTGTTGTCCGTTGGGCTCAGGGACCTTCTTACACTACCCTTCAAGACACCGATTGGGAAGACCTATACGAACTTGGTGAACACGACAACGAAGATCTATTTCACCATCAGGACAATTGGACTCCTGAACTTCGTTCCCTATTCGGTGATCCTCCCTATATCGAATTCCCCTCTCTTCATTACCAAACCGCCGACGTTATCGAGTATCTCCCCACCATGTCGGGAATCGAGAAACTCAACAACTCCATTCTGAGTGTCTTCGATGGCACCAATTGGAATATGTGGTCGGACAACTACATGAGCATCTGCATGCATCAGGGCACCTGGGGAGTGGTTAAACCCACTCATATTATGGTTAACGGCACATCTACCTCGAACCCTGGTTCTATGGAGCGTCCTGGAACGGCTGGTGACAGCCAGTATCAATGGGACGTTGCCAATGAAAAGGCACTGGGTCTTGCGCGGGTTTATATCACCCAGAATCTGCGCAAGGGAATCTTTATGGACGGTCAGCGGGAGCGCACTGCGCGCGAGGTTTTTGCAAAGATGGCGACGGATTATGGCCAACCAAATGCCATCGATGCTTTCGTCGAGTACCGCCTCCTGAACACCACCACCTTCCACGGTGGTGATACCATTGACAAGCAAATCATGGAAATGGAGACTGGTCGTCGCCAGTGTTCGGAAGGAGGAATCGAGATCCCTGACTACCTCTTCGCAACTCTAATGCTCGCCGCTTTGCCCGCTTCCAGCAGAGGTTTTGTCACCTCTTACCTGGCCAATCGTCCTATCGCTTCTCTGAACCCAGTCGATGTCAAGAACAGCGTCATAGGGAATATCAAGATCAAGAACCTCGACACGACGTCGAACTCGAAGATTTCCACCGTTCCGTCCCTTGCCACCCGCTGCACTCATTGCAACAAATCCGGTCACGTTGCGGCATCCTGCTACAAGAAGTATCCCAACCTCAAGCCGACTGGTCAATCTTCTGACAAAGGCAAGGGGAAGCAGGATGAGGGGAAGAAGAAAAAGAAGAAGGAAAAGAAGAGCGGTGATGGTACTAGCGCTGTAAAAGAAGTTGTAGCCGCTCCCGCGGTTGCAGCTGTCTCCAATGGAATGCACATTTCGTCCTATCTCATGAGTGACTCCCTCAAACACATCGATGATGGAATTTTTGTTGAAGAAATGGGAGACGACTCCAAAATTCGTTTTCTATGGGACTCGGGTTGTACGCATCATATGACAAACACCCGATCCGATCTTCACAACATCAGACCTATCGACACCTATGTAGTCGTTGGGTCGGGAGCTCGCTTCAAGAATGAAGCCGTTGGAGATATTGTGTTGCGGGGTCATACTAGTAGTGGCATCGACTACACCTTCACGCTGAAGGATGTCATCTACAACCCGCACATAAGAGGGCGTTACCTTTCTGGGTATGCGCTCGATCAGGCTGGTTACTACACCGTGGTTGGTGACAACAAGGCAATCCTAGTCACCAAGGATTGGCTCAACAAGGGAAAAGCGCATGGGGATGTCTTGATGACCTTTAAAGCAAGCAATCGCTGCTACTGGTACTACCCCGAGGAGCTCGTGGCACCGTCTGTGTCTGCATCTCACGAGTCTACCGCGCTTGCTTCCCTGGAAACTACCGATCGTGAATTGTGGCATAAGCGTTTTGGTCATGCGGCTCGGAGGACCCTTACTCACTTGCCGACACAAGTTGAAGGTGTTCCCCCCTTGCGACGCAATAAAGACCAGCGCGGCATGTGCGATGGATGTATGCTTGGAAAACAGCACAAGCATCCGTACCCTGCATCAGAGAAACGTGCTAGCAAACCCCTCGAGCTTATCCACACTGATTTGATGGGCCCCTGGCCTACTCAGTTGTTGGAAGGTTCACGCTACACAATTTTGTTTTACGATGATTTCTCGAGCTTTGGCATGATGGTGTTCATTAAATCAAAGGACCAAGCCTCTACTGCGATTAAAAACTTTGTTGCCCTTACAGAGCGTCAGCTTGGCACAAAAGTACTGGCCTTCCGGTCAGATCGTGGAGGCAAATATATGTCCGATGAACTCACAGCCTGGCTCAATGCACGTGGTATTATGCACCCTAAGTCCGCGCCACGCAAACCACAGCAAAATGGGAGGTCTGAACGTTGGAATCGCACAGCCTACGAGAAAGCGGAATGCATGCGCCTCGATGCCGGCCTATCCAAAGGCTTCTGGCAATGTGCTATGGATGCATCTGTCCACGTTCATAATAGACAACCTATGGCACGATTGGGATGGCGAACACCTGCGGAACTGTGGCTTGGAAAGAAGCCAGACGTCTCTTATTTCCGTGTGTTTGGATGCAAGGCGTCTCTCTATGTGGATGTTGAAAAACGCCCGAAAGGGTTGGAGCATGGACGCTGACGGACTGGCCTATCTATCCGACAAGTCCTGACGTGTGGCAGTGCATGTCAATCAGCAATCAGTGGGCGCACGCTTCGCACACAACTGAGGGTCTCCTCAATATTCCTCAGCCCTGGCTATTCACTGGTTCGTCCAGCCCTGCATATATTTTTGATATTCACATCCCTGGACTGCTGTCTGCACATTTATCTCTACACCCCTGCCTTTCTTACTTCACCATCCACTTGTACCTGTTTTTCCCCTCTCACTTCCCTGGTTCCTCTGTTCACCGTCCCTTGCTCCATCCTGTCGATATTTCACCCACTCTGATGATTATTTCATTGTCTCACATACAAAAGCTTGTAGTTGGACAAAAGAAAAATAGATTTATTCTCCTCATAGTCTTGAGTTCAGTTCTCGTCTTCAGCTCGTTTCTACTTGGGTATTTCGACCCTCTGCTTCGTCGCATCCGTCCCACGCCGCCCTCGACTTCGTCCCACGTCTAAAATCATCATTTCTTACTGCCTGCCACGGCACTGAATCTTGTGGACCTCCTCGCACATCACACTTATTCCTGCACTGTTTTAGGTCGTAGCTGACCCCCATTTTGTGTTAGCTCGCGCCTATTCCGTCCGCAGGCACGTCATTTTGGAGCCCACCGCGAGGGGATTTCAACATAGATTCTGGTGCCTCTCGCAGTCTGCGACACAACAATCATTCTGAGCTACGTCGCACGCTCCGTGAAGAGCTAGCTGTTGCTCTCAACGACCCCACAACTCTCTCTTTCGACGACGAACACCTTTTTGACATTGTCCCCAGCGCCCTTGCACAACACAACAACCTCTCACCGCATTCCCCGAGCTCTCCAACGCTATCCTGGCTCTTTGATTCGCCTCCAACAACGCGTTCACCATCCCCCCTTCACAACACGAATATTCCTTCTCAAAATATGGCTACTCCCACTCCCATGCCAGCCAGAGGCGATCGAAACGCCCCAGTCTTTGATTCGTCCAAGCCCCACGAGTTGCGCCGTTATTTCCTCGATCTGGAGTTCCTTCTAGCTCGATCTGCCGTCACTGACGCTGCCCAAATGAAGGGGCATGCGGTCAGATTCCTTTCCGTCGAAGATCAGGAGATTTGGGAAGGTCTACCGTCATTCTCAGACGCCAACAAATCGTACCACGACTTCAAATTGGACGCCCTCAGCCTCTACGCAGGGAACGACACAGATCGTCGTTTCAGCCTCGACGATTTGGACATGCTCGTTGGGCAGACATCTCGCATGGGAATCCACACAAAGGACGACCTCACACAATTTTATCGACGATTCCTACACATCACAACATTCCTGATTAGCAAACAACGACTCTCTGTGGCAGAACAGAGCCGATTTTTCCTTCGAGCTATGAATCCAGCCTCGTTGTCCGTCTCAGTTCGCCAGAGACTTCAGATCAAGAAGCCAGACGTTCACCCTGAGGATCCATATGATTTGTCAGATCTGTACGACGCTGCTAAATTCGTCCTTTCAGGATCATCGACCTTACTTCCTGGAATGCCCACGTCTCAGCCCGGAACCGAGCTCACAATCAAATCAGACCCTGGAATTACTGCACTAGTTTCATCCGTCTCAGATCTAGTTCGAATAATCGCTGCTCAACACGCCAATCCTGGTGCCCCAGCACAATCACAGTCCGCCAACGCCCTGCCCCGCCGTCGCCGTCCTGATGGCTGCAGTTATTGCAGTGATCTCGAGCATTTTATCAGCCAATGTCCCCACGTTTCGACGGATATTCGAGACGGAAAATGCCGCCGCAATGTGGATGGGAAAGTCGTCCTCCCCTCAGGCGCATATGTGCCAAATATTGTCCAAGGAAAGGATCTTCGAGAGCGCATTCAGAAGTGGCATGAAGCGAACCCAGGTCAGGCAGCAGCTCCGCAGATGATTTTGGAAGTTTCTCACCAGAATTTGCTGTCTTCTGCGGCGCCTGGGCTCGTTCAAACGTTCAAACTCACGGACGAAGAACGAATGGCAGTTCTGACGGCTGAAATTAATCAACTACGCACACGGGCCCAAGCTAAACGCGCTATGGAAGTTGCTAATCAACCAGAAGTCCCTGAACGCACTATTCCACCGGCGGTAGCGCGAAATCCAGTCGTTCCACCTGTTCCAATCGAAACCGTCCCTCCTGCGACCGCCCCTGCTGCTCCAGTTGCCCCGCCTCAACCCCCAATCCATCCGTACGCCGCAGCTCGTGATGGCGCTTACGCACCGCCCAAAGAACGAAATGTTGGGATTCCAGCGCAGAAATCACAACCCCCACGCTCTTCGGCTCCGATCTACAACCCCAAAGATGCTGCAGCTGTTTTCGACGCCATTTTGGACATCCCTGTCACCCAGACGCTTCGCCAGACCCTGTCGATTGCCCCAGAAGTCCGTGCTCAATTCCGCGAAGCTACTAGTTTCCGTCGTCCCCCTGCCAAGACTGGCGAGGCAGTGCCTCAATTCCTGCATCCTGTCACTGATAGCACGCCCTACGACCTTCCATATGCTCAGGACGACTCAGATTTGGTCGAAAAAGTGCTTCAGCAGCAACGAAACGAAGATGCACGCCTTGCTTTGGCTGTGGAGCATTTTCCAGTCGCCTACAGCCAGACGTTGCCCCCAGACGCTTGGGTGGTCCCAGATAAATTTGCCGTCTACTACGATCAGACTGGAAGGTTGCCAGACAATCTAGTTGTGGCTGCCGAGTCCCTGGCCATCCGCTCGATCCTCCCAGTGATTGACAACCAGCAACAAGTGGAATGCATCGTCGACAGTGGTTCTCAGATTATTTCGATGTCCCAGGCAACCTGTCACGAGTTGGGACTTGCGTATGACCCTCGAATCGTTCTACAAATGCAATCTGCCAATGGAACAATCACACCGTCGCTTGGACTAGCCCGAAACGTCCCGGTTCGCATTGGGGACATCACATTGTACCTACAGATGCACATTCTGCGTGACGCTGCCTACGACGTGCTCCTGGGACGACCATTTGACGTTCTGACGGAAAGCGTCATTCGAAACTTTTCCAACACGGATCAAACACTCACAATCACCGATCCCAACACTGGAAAGACGGCTACTGTGCCTACTGTGCCCCGCGGATCTCCCCGTGCCCGTTCAGAGGGTTTTCGCAGCTCGAGGATTTGATTCCTGATCAAGGAGAGTACGCCTTTGTGATCGAGGCCAGCCCAGATCAACCAGAACGCTACGTATTTTCGTCCTATGCCCCCATTTCTCTCACAGACTCTCTTGCGCACATACAACATACTTATCTCTCTGCCTGTAGCAATTTATCCGCACACAGTTCGACTATTTCTCTTGCACATACAGTCGTTCAACCGGTGTTTTCCTCAGCGACCCAGGATTCAACTCCTGGTTCAAAATTCGTTCCCATATTTTCTTTGAACTCGTCTCGTACCTATCCTACTGCTACGTCTCCTTCATCTCAATTCTACCCGTCCACGTCACAATTTGCTAACAAAAAGTACAAGCCAGTGGCCAGGAAAATTCGGCCTGTTCTTGGATCTGTCCCAGACGAATTCCGCATCGAGCGCCAGATCCTGGGCGACCCACTCGCAGATCTACCATATCTGGATCCTATTCCGCCTCCTTTTGTGCCGACTGGACGCTACACCGCCGAACGCAAGGCTGCTCTTGACGACGCACACCGCGGTGACTTCCTGTGGCCTGCTGAGAGAGATTTAATGCACCAGTTCATGTGCCTTCACCAAGGAGCCTTTGCATGGCAAGAATCAGAACGAGGACGTTTTCGAACCGATTTCTTTCCCCCTGTCAATATCCCAGTCATGCCGCACACACCGTGGGTCCAGCGCAATATCCCCATTCCCCCTGGGATCTACGATCAAGTCTGCGACCTCATACGTTCGAAAATCGCTGCTGGAGTGTACGAACCGTCCAATTCATCCTATCGATCCCGTTGGTTCTGCGTGGTCAAGAAAGACGGCACCAGCCTTCGTTTGGTTCATTCCCTGGAGCCACTAAACGCCGTCACAATTCAGCACTCAGGCGTCACGCCATTCACTGAGCAGCTGGCTGAGCATTTTGCAGGACGAGCCTGCGGTGCCATGCTGGATTTATATGTTGGATATGACGAACGGTTGCTTGCGCCAGCCTCCCGCGACTATACAACGTTCCAGACGCCCTATGGAGCTCTCAGACTTGTTACCCTGCCCATGGGATGGACGAATTCAGTCCCCATCTTCCACGACGACGTCACCTACATCCTCCAGCCCGAAATCCCGGAATTTACTTGGCCATACATCGACGACGTCCCGGGCCGTGGCCCCAAATCGAGATATCAGCTAGAAGATGGATCATTTGAGACGATCCCTGAGAATCCAGGGATTCGCCGGTTCGTTTGGGAACATTTTGGAAATCTGAATCGAATCGTTCAGAGGATGAAGTACTGCGGAGGGACATTCTCTGGCCTCAAGCTCACACTCTGCGCCGAAACCATCACAGTTGTTGGACATGTCTGCACACCGGCTGGACGAATCCCTGATGAGAAGAGAGTCGACAAAATCGCAAATTGGGGACCCTGCAAGACGCTCTCAGAAGTCCGTGCATTTCTGGGCACCATAGGAGTCTGCCGTGCATTTATTTCGAATTTTGCGCATCGTGCCCACGCCCTGACACTTCTAACACGAAAGGATATGCCATTCCACTTCGGTACTGCACAGATCGCTGCCCAAGACGACCTGAAGCACGCATTATTGAGCTGCCCTGCGCTCCGGCCAATCGACTATTCATCTGGGGACCCAGTTATCTTATCCGTGGACACCTCTCAGATCGCCGTTGGTTTCCTGCTTGCCCAGTGCGATCCAAACACTCCCAGTCGACGTTTCTATGCCCGGTTTGGCTCAATCACGCTTAACGATCGAGAAGCTCGATTTTCACAGCCCAAGCTAGAGCTGTATGGATTATTCCGCGCCCTTCGTTCATGGAAGCTCCACCTGATCGGACTACGAAATCTAGTGGTTGAAGTCGATGCTAGGTACATCAAGGGTATGCTACGGAACCCCGATCTTTCGCCCTCAGCCAGTATCAACCGCTGGATCCTGGCGATCTTAACCTTCCATTTCGAGCTAGTACATGTCCCTGGCGTCAAACACGGCCCGGATGGATTGTCCAGACGACCCGCACAGCCTGGAGACGAGTTAGAGCATGAGGACGACGGTTTTGATGACTGGATCGACGAGGTGCACGGTTTTATGCACATAATCAATGACTTACCCTTCGTTTCACGACGCCAATCCACGATCCACTCATTTTCCGCCGAAATTGCACCCACCGAGTCCACAACACCGCCTACACTGAGCTACGATCAGGTACCTCGCTCAGAAGCAGCTCGACTCGCCGATCATCGTGTAGATCTGGTTCAGGGATGGCTTGAGACGCTATGACGCCCACGGGACATGTCTGAACAGCAATATCAGGCATTTATTCGGTTTAGCATGGAATTCTACCTCGAAAATCGAAAGCTTTGGCGCAAGGACGCACACGGACGCCACAAGCTAGTCGTTCCCTCCCACCGTCGAATATTCATCCTGCGATCTGCCCACGACGACGTTGGTCACAAGGGATTCCACGCAACGAAGGCTTTACTCACGGAACGATTCTGGTGGCCATTCCTTGCACACGACGTCACCTGGTACCTACGCACCTGCCACCTATGTCAGATTCGACAGACAAAGAAGCTCCTTATCCCCCCTACCGTCGCGGTCCCGGCCCCACTGTTTTCGAAAATTCATATGGACACTATGCACATGCCGCCAAGCGCTGGATTCCGCTACATTGTGCAAGGACGATGCTCGATTTCGCTTTTTCCTGAGTTCCGCATGCTGCGCCGTGAGACAGCGACCACCCTGGGCGAATGGATCTTCCAGGACTTGATCTGCAGATGGGGGACGCTCACAGAAATCGTGTCAGACAACGGCGCACCGTTTGTGAAGGCATTGGCGTACCTGGAAGCTAAGTATCACGTCCGTCATGTGCGCATTTCGGGATACAACTCACGCGCAAATGGGCTGATTGAAAATCCACATTTCGACATCCGCGAGGCGCTCTTCAAGGCTGTAGATGGGGAGCAGAAGAACTGGAGTTCTGCTGCTTATTCGGTCTTCTGGGCGGACCGTGTCACTGTCCGTCGTCGCATGGGCTGCTCACCCTATTTTGCGGTCACTGGAACGCATCCATTAATTCCCCTCGATTTATCAGAAGCCACATACCTGCTCCCGCCGCCCGAAACCGTCCTTTCGACCACGGATCTCATTGCACGACGCGCCATTGCGCTCCAGAAACGCCGAAGCGATCTAGAAGCCCTACACTCTCGAGTTTATCAAGCACGACTGCGTGACGCTGCACGCTTCGAGATCGAGCACGCCGCCACGATCTGCGACTTCAACTTCAAGCAGGGCGACCTGGTTTTGATGAGGAACACGGCCATCGAGAAGTCCCTCAATATGAAGATGCGCAAACGCTATTTGGGCCCATTAGTCGTCATTTCGCGCAACAAGGGAGGCGCCTACATCCTGTGTGAGCTAGACGGCTCAGTTTTCCATCGTCCCATCGCCGCTTTTCGTGTTATACCTTATTTTGCACGCACAACGATCCCCCTCCCTCCCCTGGACGATTTCCTCGATATCTCAACCGAGAAACTGCGCGAGCTCGAGCAGTCAACATTGGTGGACCCAGAAACAGATCAGGAAGAGGAGGAGAGCTGTGAAGAGTTGTAGAAGAGTTAGAGAACGCGTTTCAGTCAGGAGGATGCACCTGCACAGCTGAGCACCCTCTCCTTTCGACTTTGCTGCCCATTCCTTTCCCCCCAAGTCGCATCCTTTGATTCATCATTGTCTTGCGCAGCTCCGAGGAGCTAAGGCTATGATGATCTACTGAGCCTTTATCTTCACATTTCTATTCCTCAAGACACTTGTCCGCTATTCTATGACCGAGGACGGTCATTTTTTCAGTCAGGAGGAGATGACGGACTGGCCTATCTATCCGACAAGTCCTGACGTGTGGCAGTGCATGTCAATCAGCAATCAGTGGGCGCACGCTTCGCACACAACTGAGGGTCTCCTCAATATTCCTCAGCCCTGGCTATTCACTGGTTCGTCCAGCCCTGCATATATTTTTGATATTCACATCCCTGGACTGCTGTCTGCACATTTATCTCTACACCCCTGCCTTTCTTACTTCACCATCCACTTGTACCTGTTTTTCCCCTCTCACTTCCCTGGTTCCTCTGTTCACCGTCCCTTGCTCCATCCTGTCGATATTTCACCCACTCTGATGATTATTTCATTGTCTCACATACAAAAGCTTGTAGTTGGACAAAAGAAAAATAGATTTATTCTCCTCATAGTCTTGAGTTCAGTTCTCGTCTTCAGCTCGTTTCTACTTGGGTATTTCGACCCTCTGCTTCGTCGCATCCGTCCCACGCCGCCCTCGACTTCGTCCCACGTCTAAAATCATCATTTCTTACTGCCTGCCACGGCACTGAATCTTGTGGACCTCCTCGCACATCACACTTATTCCTGCACTGTTTTAGGTCGTAGCTGACCCCCATTTTGTGTTAGCTCGCGCCTATTCCGTCCGCAGGCACGTCAACGCCCCGACCACATCTTCGTTGGATACGAACGAGAGACAAAAGCTTGGAAAGTGTGGGATCCGAATCAACGCAAGATACGAGTCTCTTCAAATGTTGAGTTCGATGAGCGAGTATTCCCTGCCAAGTCCAAGCTAGTCACCGGCAATGTGTCCTCTGGACCGGAGCCGTTCACACCATTCGAGGAAACCTTCCCTGACCTTATCAATAATCCTGCGCCTGCAACGCCTTATGCAAGCATACCACCTCCTGCTCTCCCACCGCCACCGGCACCCCTCGCGCAACAAGGTCCTGTCACGGGATCGCGAGAAGTACCCCTAATGCCTGGCCCGATAGACGATCGCCCGATTGCCCATCGCCGCCCTCGTCGGAATAAGCCCCGCATTATGCCAGATGGAACTACGTATCAGAGGCCTAGCAGCATTGAGTCCATGTTGTCAGCTGCCCAAGCTGAGCATGACTTGCCTCAAAACGTGCGGGATGTAGCAAAGAGCCCGGATGCACTCAAGTGGGAGCGCGCAATGCGCGAAGAACTGGACTCTCTCGAGGAAAACTGTACTTGGGATTTGACCAGCCTCCCACGCGGTTGAAAGACTGTCAAATGCAGATGGGTGTTTAGCAGGAAGCGTGACGGTCGTTTCAAAGCACGACTTGTTGCCAAGGGATTTACTCAGGTTCATGGGTTTGACTATGATGAGACCTTCTCGCCAGTATTGCGCTACGAATCTTTGCGCATACAGTTAAAACGCTCATATGGAATCAAGTCGGGGCATGACCCCCGCCTGATTCCATATGGCGGATATTCCGTATGATATAAGACCGTCAGAGAGGCTCAAAAAATTCTCAAAAAATCGGGAAAAATGCCAATTTATTCTAGAGTACATTGCAAGACTACTTGGGACCAAAAAAGCTATCCAACGACACTTGAACCTTGGACTCTTCCTTCTCCTGTACGAGATTCAACCCAAGTTTCTTCGGATTGGCATCAAGTGGCATTGAAACATCCTGATCCGGTCGAGTCTGAGTGATCTTGCGTAGCAGGTCAATGGCCGCAATGGCTTCCTTGTGATCAAACTTGAAAGAGTCAAAGATGTCCCCATTCTCGTCAGTTTCTTCGTCCAGATCAACCTTGTCATCTTCTTTCGCGTTCTCTTGCACCTGTTCAATGATCTGATGCAAACCCACATCTCCGTCCGCCAACCACGCATCCTCGCTCTTCTTATTCTTGCCCTTATTGCCGCTCCCAGCTTTCTTCTGCCCACTCTTCTCTCGCTCTTGGATCTTACGGGACTTGTTGGGGTTGCTGCGCACCATGGAGGAGATGGAGAGAGAGAAAATTTACTAATTGCATGGGCGACGAGCGCCTATTGAAGCTCTGACACACCCACGTGATGCACATGACCGTGGAATATTCCCGAAAAGTACCATGAAAAGTTGATTCCTTATTCCATACCACGGAATGTGGAATATCCGGTTCTCCCAAGTCGGGGGAAGCCCAAAAGCGATTCCAGATCGCGGATATTCCATATGAGATTATTCCATACGAATGTTTTAACTGTACTTATGGCTTTGGCTGCTCTCGAAGATTGGGAGATTCATGCCATGGATGTCAAAACGGCATTCCTAAACGGGGATCTGGAGGAAGAAATCTATATGGAACTTCCGGAATTACCCAAAGGTTTCTCGTCATGGCCAAAAGAAAAGGTGGCACGCCTTCGTAAATCACTCTATGGGTTGAAACAGGCGTCTCGTCAGTGGAATATCAAAATCCACAATGCCCTCCTTGAACTTGGTTTTGCTCGGACATACTCCGACGCCGGTGTCTACACATATCGCCAACAAATGGGAGATACGGTCATCATCTTGGTGCTGTATGTTGACGATATGCTCATTATGGGCAACAATCTGCCGGAGATAGCGCGTATCAAATCCTTGCTCGCGAATCGCTTCAAAATGACAGATCTCGGTCCTGCGAAGGATTTCCTTGGTCTGAACATAGTTCGTGATCGCAAAGCGCGTAAAATCTGGATCGATCAGGCTTCCTATATTGAAGGAGTTCTAGAACGTTTCCGGATGTCTTCGTGTAAAGAAGCTCGTACTCCCCTGCCTTCCGGCATCGTGCTCGAGAAGCATGATGGAGAAGTTGATGAAGACCGTTGTACCCGATACCAGCAACTGATTGGCAGCCTTCTATATGCCATGCTTGGTACTCGCCCCGACATTGCCTATGCAGTCATCCGTCTATCAAAGTTCAACAGCAACCCGTCAGAACATCATTGGAACATGGCAAAATACATACTCCGGTACCTTCAGGGCACCAAAAACTACCAACTTTGCTATGATGGTTCCACTGGCGCAGGCCTTATCGGTTATTCCGATGCTGATTGGGCGGAGAACAAAGACGACAGGCATTCAACCACGGGATATTCCTTCTTCATCGCCGGTTGTGCAGTGACCTGGGTTTCTAGACACCAACCCACGGTCGCTTTGTCCTCAACAGAGGCCGAATACATGGCTCTGAGCGATGCTACGCGCCAGATTGCCTGGATCCGCACTTTGTTGACTGAGCTCGGATATGACTTGCCATCCACGCCTCTTTGTGTTGATAACCAAGGCGCTATCTTTATGGCAGTAAATCCAGTTCATGATAGGAGGACGAAGCACATCGACATCCGCTATCACTTCGTACGAGAATCCGTCGAAGCTGGCAATGTCCAACTTTACCATGTGCCGACTGATGCGATGATCTCCGACACGCTCACAAAGTCTCTGGCATGGGTGAAGTTCCAACAACATCGGCTGTCTTTGGGTCTTCGTGATCCGACTGTTTAGTCGAGTGGGAGTGTTGAAGCTTGTTTGTATTAGCGACTATCACAGTATGTAGACATGACATCATAAGTAGTATTCTTAGATTACTTTGGCTCGCTCCACAATGACCTCATACCTGACCTCATTATTGCGTCATCCATTACTCATCTATGATATCATTACTCCACTATGACATTATGATATCTGCTCCAGACTGGTATATAAACCTAGTACTATACGCTCCATATCCTCAGCTCCTGTGTCTCTACACTCGCTGAGGTATGCATTCTCCCTTACGATCTAATGACCTTACTTATGACTTGTACCATAGACTCTGTCTTATAGGTACAGCTAATGATACAGCTCCTGTGTCTCTACACTCGCTGAGACTCTGTCTTATAGGTGATCGCTACTGGTCGTATCTCCACTGCGCGGTATTGTCTGCGACAGCACCATGGTAAGGTGGGAATTGCTGTTGGAAAGGGAGTGCTTGCTCAGGGGAAGGGTTCCAACCCAACCAGCGCTTCAGTCGATCAAGCATTTGAGTGCGTCCAAAGAAGCAAAAAAAGTTTACACTGCCACATGTCAATCAGTGCACTGGCACTCTTGTCTCGCAAGCCACTACAAGCCAATCTGCCTGATGCGATTGGACATGACAGCTTGCACTGGTTGGACTGTAGAAATAAGGATGTCGCAGCTCTTTTCACTCCGGCAGATTGTGATTAATGTGACCCACAATGAAAAATTTATATTGTAGATATTGGAGTATAAATGGGTGAATACAAAATACATTGCAATATTGAAACTAATGTGATGTAAAAAAATTACCACAATTCACACCACACATAACAAGGCCCACAAAGATCAAGTCATATTCCATATATTGTGACCCAAAAAAATAAGCTGACCCAATATGTCACATATCAGTGCAAAAACGTCTTGATACCACAAATATCGGGTGCCGGGTATGATCCGGGTCCTGATATGTAACATATCAGATCACTTGATTTTTTTATCCCCAATATATAGAATATAATTTATCCTTTGTGGGCTGCATTATGTGTGGTGTGAATTGGGTTACATCTTACACAACACATTAGTTTCAATATTGTAATGTGTTTTGTATTCAACCATTTGTACTCCAATATCTGCAATATAAATTTTTCATTGCGGGCCACATTAATTGCGATCTGCCGGAGTGTTTGAGCAAAGTAGAGGGCAAAATGCATTATTTCGTTTTGCGGAAGATCCCTCTATTGACCCGAAAAGTGTGAGGAAATGCAGTAATTTATTGCACGAGCAATGCACGGGACATCAATCGCAAGCCATTCTGCCTGATGCGATCATTCGTCCACTCGCACTGCAGATCGGGATAGAATCCATGGGTTTTATTATGTCCAACAAGCTCTCTGCACAGAATTTTCCACCAATCGATATTTAAAGCTCCTCTAAGGTTCTTGAGTGCCAAAAAACAAATTAGATCGGACATATTCAGAGTACTTTCCCATCTCTGTCCTACACACCATTGAGATTAATAGGGCTCACAACACTCTGTCTCCGAACGATATCTGCTAGAATCAGCGCATAAGCAAGAATATTTAATGTATAGAAGCTTGGGCGCTTTTTAGGGCTGCCTATAACATATATCTTCAGTAGGTTTTACAAAATTTCTTAATCCTAGGCCGAAATCAACTGAGGCGTACAGTAAGTGGACAAAATGATTGACTGATCAGTTCTCTTTGATTAAAAATGGGCTTTCCAGGCTCTTAGAGCTCATATCATCCTAGGGTCTCTGAGAACAAAATGTAGCCTTGGGCCTGTAGAATAGTCCACTGAACCCCTGAAGTTGTTGCAAAATTATTTGTAGAGATATACTACCGATTATCAATGACTGGTTTTACAATAAAGACAACATTTTGCTTCTGTGGCCAGCCTTGAGTCCTGATTTCAATGTCATCTAGCACATGTAGGACTCTCTCAAACATATAGTGGAAGGTCAGCACCCACTGCCATCAGGCAAGGAGGATTCCAGGCAAGGGTGGGCACATTTGAACATGGACAAGATTTTCACTTACTACACTGTAATCTGGAGTTCTAGATATTCTACACATGGAAACTAATACTCTTAAGGTGCATTTCATTCCAATTGACCCTTGGGCAAAATCAGCTCTGTGAGCCAGGACAATCAAAAAACTGATCAGTCAATCATTTTGTCCACTTACTGTACTTGCTAGACTGCGAGAGACAGGTGTTGTGAAGTCACCTTTGCACAATATAGCGCTCTCTTTGCGCAATTCCACTGGTTCGCAGCCTTGATTCATGCTGTAGAATGTAATGTCCATGAACTGTGTGCATTCATGGGCACAAACTGGATCTACTAAGAAGGACAGATGCTCGGCCGTGGTTCGGGGCTTGTAGATAGATTAATTGACGTTCGTAGCGGGAAAGGATCGATCTGTCTGCTCTTGAACGGTAAACAATCAAATTTTGTTCAACAAGACGCTGACGCAAAAACTTAAACACGGTGTTGCGCACCGCTTCCGTGCATAATTCAGGGGCAGAAACAATCTGTGACTTGGTCTCAGCGGAAAAGCCCACCGGCTTGCGGTCCTACAATGCCGTAGCGACTCAAGTTGAGACCAGGATCTTCAAAAGTGATCATTCACAAACTGTATGGCAAACCGTAGCTCATTCATGTTGTCATAGGCCTTACATGTCTTACGCGACCACCCGAAACACTTGTAGAGCCGCGAAGAGTTATAGAGTATAGAAATAATCATGTTTTATTTGGCCGGACACAAGCCAAAATGTTGGCTTGGCAAGCCGGCATTTTGGCTTGCAAGCCTGATGGCATCACTCACAGGCCAAATCCCATCACAAGCCAAAAAAAGCCACTTGGCGCGGGCACAAGCCACTTCGGCAAGCCAAAAACGTCGGTGTCCAAGGAATCCTAGCCGTGGGTAAAACTCTAGTCAGGGAGTGATCCGGCCCGGACCGGTCACAGAGAGTGACTGATAACGTGGCTGTGACAAGCGTCATCTCCCCTCCGTCATCATGGACCAAGCGGTTCCGCGCCAAGGTCAGAGTCATGCAGAATCATAAACTGTCAAGCGAATCATGATCTGTTCTCGCCGTTCGTATTCGGTGCACCCTCAGAAACGTCCTCGGCCTCTAACTCGAGTCAATCCAGGAGTCAGTGCTACCGGAGCGAGGTCTATTCGATCGCGTTCAGCCGGCGCCTGAATCTGTGCGGAAAAGGGAGCTGCATAGTCAATGAATCAACAACCCCTGTCTCCATTGAAACCACGCTCCTCGGCTCCGGGATGCCAACTCAAGCTCCTATTCATAAGCGGCTTGTATGCCCCTCTTGAATCCCCGCTACAACAAGCTCAGACCTCTCCAGAAACAACCGATATTCTCTAATTTTCGACAATCAGCATGGTGTGCGTCCCATCCTTGGTGTTTTTTCCGTCAGGAACGGAGCTTATGCGCGCTTTTATCGCCCCAGAAAATTCACGGTCGACGAGATCCGGGCGCTCATGGACAAGCCGCACAACATCCGCAACATGAGCGTCATCGCGCATGGTGCGTGGTCCCTCTTTGCGACTGCTCGGCAATGTTCTGATTAGGACGGAATGCGCAGTCGACCATGGCAAATCGACGCTTACCGACTCGCTCGTCTCGAAAGCAGGCATCATCGCCAAGACAGGAGGGCGGTTGTTAAGGATATAGCTATTTGGCAGGATCTGCAAATAGATTAGTAATTCAAATTCGATAAATTGACGCACTTTGAGTCCAAATACTGGATCTCACTGTTCTCTACCCTCAGTAGCTCTACTACCGTTTTAACGAAACTCAGTAAAGCGAATTACTGAATGATATTCAGAACCTTTGAGTCTAGCAACACAAAGGGGTGCTTGAGTTTGGCAAAACAAGCACTTAACCAACGAAGCGGCTAGCTCTAGCAAGATAGCTGCAAAGTCGGGGTATATTCTTATAGAAGAATAGGAATATAAGTCTTGAGGTACTAGAATCTGGCAATTCAAGTACAACTAAGACTAGGTTGGATAATAATTAGGCACAGGGTGCACTAAGTACTGTGAGCAAGTAGTGGATTTGAATCAAAAGTAAGATGTCCCTCACAGCAGGAGGGACTCTGCTTTTATACTATCTAGCTAGTGTTTCGGATTCATCAAAACATGAATCCCTGACGCGTTTCAGGACCACGAAACGCGCAAGGACTTCAGGATCACAAATGACTCATTGATGATAAGTCATAATGATCTAGTCTGATAGCAGCTGCTTCACGGTGTATTTAAATATACAAAATGTACTTATTTAAGATTGTGTAGAGCCTTTGTAGCCGTGTCCATAATCCATGACATAGCCCCCCCAGGCTCGAATCGGTCTTGAATAAGCTCATCAGGCAACAGAATTTTTCAATGTCCATGGTTCTACAAAATATTTGAATGGTCAAAATGAGATAAAGGCAGTCCGTATACACCAAGCCAAGACTGTGTGTTGTCCCAAGGTCTGATGTATCTTTCTCAGTCCGTATCTTCGTCGGAGTCGGGGTATTGCTAAAACATTATGGTGAGTCTGGGTCCTCCTCGAAGTCTGACAAGGTTACCAATTCAGGCATATCAAAATCTAGATCCTCCTCCTGTTCTTCGTCGCTATCGTACTCCGAGTTATTCTCAATCTGCTGATCTTGTACAACGGCGAGAAGAGCGTTGAATCGCTCCCCAATCATTTCGGCCGACCACCCTCGAAGCCACAGATGATGGCGTGTGATCAGAGTGAGATGCTCGTCGGGAGAACCCTGAGGGGTCTCAACTGGAGGCCAAAGCGCCGGGACGACCAGCTCAGAGTCCCCATGTTCGATCAAGTAGATGAGTTGGGCACGGGACGGACGCTCCGCTGCAAGGAAATCGACAATGGCAAAGTCAAAAGCCCGAGTCCAGATTTGATTATGAAAGGCGCGGAAAATGGAAGGGTGAGCAAACGATTCAACGCGCAAACGATTGCGCACTGTGAATTCGGCCCGGGTCATCCCAAATGCGGCGCCAAAGTCCCAACTGCTTTCCTGCCCTCTTCGTAGCGATTCACCCAGTACCGTGAGGCACCAGACTAGCCAGTAATCGTAGGTATGCAGCGTCTCGCGAAACCAGTCAACGGCCAAATCCACTGAATCGAATGTCCGGCGGAAGCGGAAGTGACCACGCAAGCCATTGAAAAGTAGAAGTGCTGGTGCCCGACCGGTGAAGGACAGCTCATCGAGAACGCTTTGCCGTACTCCGAAGGTGCGTGGACGAAGGTGTGGCGGAACTGGACGTCGGCCCGTTGCGGCGTTGGTGATGAAATGGGCGAGATGTGTGAAGAGAGAACTGAGGTGATATTCCAATCCGTGGATCAGACCGAATCGGCCACTTTCGAGGCGTCGAACCCACGCTGCGGACGGTGTAACCCTTGATGCCCAGTCATAGAATACTGTGCGGAAGTAGAGTAACTGCACCGTATGATGGCCAAGGAGAGTGGTGATGAGCACTCCGGCGGCTTGAAAACCGCGCGTCTGAGGTGTTGGGGTGATAAATAGAGGAGGAGAAGGACCGGGCGCCTGAACGTCGGCGTTCTTCCGTGCATCGCGACTGGCCTGTCGATCGGTATAGGCAAGAACATGGTCAACGCCGAAATCTTCAGCGCGAGTGCCAAAGCCGAGTGCGCGTTCGTCCGAAATGTTAGACATGATAGAAAAATGAAAGGGGAATTGCATAACGGTAAAGCATAGTGTGTACGTCTTTTATATAAATTCTTTTTTATTTCGTCATCACTCCTCTTCGTTCGTTCCCATTTGCTGGAGATCATGCTTGCGGGACTCTGGGAGAAAGAACGTCTGTGTCGTGTGGGCTTGGGCCTTGTGCATCTTTGAAAATGAATTTTGGAGCGTCCTGGGAGGATCTCTGCCCTGGCGCTCTCACAGGAACTGCTTGGAGTGCTCTCCAAGCTTCTAGAACGCTTGGAGCGTTCCTCAATTGGCGTTTCGTGAGCCACTCATCGTGCTCTGGTCCGAATTCTTTCCAGCGAATCTTGAATTGTTCTATTCGTCGTCCTCGGACTTTCCGTCGTCTCTCGTCAACGATCCTCTCGATTTCTACCTCAGGAAGCGCATCAAAATCGTCTCGATTAAGTGTTCTGACCGGGCGAGTCCCCAGTTCTGGCGGAGAAGTTTGATATGATTCTAGGTGCGCGATATTGATGATTGGGTGCATGCCATATGAGATCGGTAGTCGGAGCTGATAAGTCACCGGACTAAGCTTTCTCACAATCTCAAAGGGCCCGTCATATTTCATCAATAACTTCTTTCCCCGACCTTTCTCATCCTTCAGCAGTTTTAGTGAATGAGGATTTAAGACGACTAGATCTCCCTCATCAAACTCAATCGTAAGTCTGCCCTTGTTATAAGCCCGTTTTTGAAATATTTGCGCCATGAGAAGTGCCTCTTTTGCACGTGTTCTTTCCGCTTCGAATTGTTCCACCATTTCTGATGCATCCTTATCCCTTATAGCAGTTTCTGACCGCAGATCTTCGAGTGCACCTCCCCCCCAAGCTTCGACGGCATTTTCTGGCCGAGGGATGGCGTCGGAGCTGTGTATGAGCGTCGATGATGTAATGGGGTGATATCCAAATAGCAGAAATGCTGGCGCAAACCCTGTGCTGCTATGCGGCGTTGTATTGTACGAAAGACTAAATCCATGTACATATTTCACCCAGTCCTTTCGAGATGGCCCCACGTATGCACGAAGTGCAATCTCAAGCGCTTGATTAAGGATTTCTGTTTGACCATCAGCTTGGGGATGGTATGACGTTGTGAGGGCTCTTTTCATTCCCATTAGGCGACAGATCTCACCCCAGAACTCATTTTTCCATCGTGTATCGCGATCTGTGATAACTTGGCGTGGAACGCCATAAATGGCAATGATTTGTTTAAAGAATAGGTCCGCGGTGTTGATGGCATTTATTTTTGTGTCACAAGGGATGAATATTCCGAATTTTGTGAGTTTGTCCACGATAACAAGTATGTTATCCTTTCCGTCTGATTCCGGAAGCTCGGGAATGAAGTCCATCGAAATCACTTCGAAGGGCTGGGATGGAATCGGAATCGATTGGAGCAATCCTATTGGCGCGTGCCGTCTTGGTTTGGCCTTCTGACAAATGTCACAAGTCGAAATGTATCGTTTAAGGTCGCGTGACATCCTAGGCCAGTAATATGTGGTCGACAATCTATTGTAGCAACGGTGATATCCTGCATGAGCTGATTCCGTGAGAGTATTATGAATCTCACTCATAAGCTCGACTCTCTGTTTATCTGGAACGCACACGCGATTATTACCCCTCCAATCCTCAAAGTACAGCAGTCCTGAGTCACTGTAGTGGTACTGAGGATATTTTGGGTTCGACCAGTTGTTCTCCTGACTGATTCCCTTCAACACAGAAGCAAAATCGGGATCTGTTTTGTAGTTCTTCGACCATGTCCGTACTTCGTCCTCAGGAATGCTAACCAGAATATTGTATGATGACGAAGAAACATAACTCGAAAGTATGTCGCCTTCTGAATCCAATGGGATGTCACCAAACTCGATCCTGCTTAGATTAGGCTGATCTTCTCCTTGCTCAACAAATTGTCTCGCAGTGAGTAGCACCTTCTCCTCGAATTGCGGGCTTAATTCTTCGAACATATCTCGCAGCGGATCAGTGCCGTTGTTGAATTGTACATATGGTATGTTTTGTGCAGATGGACTATCTTGATAAGGAACTCGGCGACGCAACCGAGAGATCGGGTCAACATTTGAGTGGACTCGTCCTGCACGGTGGACAATTCTGAGGCCTGGGTAAGCTGAAAAGACAGTTCCCCACGTAAGTAGTCTGCGGTTTACATTCTGAAATGTACGGCTCCAAGTCAATGCAGCGTGATCAGTTATTCCTAGAACAACTTCGCCTTCGAGGTAGGGCTGAAACTTAATCAAGGCTTCCTTCATGGCTAAAGCTTCGCGCTCAGTTGGCGAGTAATTCCTTTCCGGGGACTTCAAGACGCGAGACCAGTAACTGACCACACGTTCAATGTGAACCACCGTATTCTCGAATTCATCAGCCCATTTACCAGGTTCTGGCACGTCATCAGCACCCTTGATCAATGTTACTAGCAGAGGAATAGGCCCCCCTTCTTTGTAAGCTCTTTCCAGCCGCTCGTAAGAACGCGTTCCACGCAGATCTCGTATTTTGATAGGCTGAACTTGCTGAAGGATCCCAGCTAAACCGTAATCGCAGGCATCCGTGTATAAGCGGTAAGGCTTATTCCGCATTGCATAAGCTCGGACCGGTGCATTGGTCAGTGTTTCCTTGCTCAGTTCAAAAGCCTTTTTATGTAGTTCCGTCCATTCCCATTTTGTGCCTTTTTTAAGTAGTTCAAAGAGCGGGTGTGCTATCCATGCATAAAATGGAATATATGCTGAGAAATACACCATCATTCCCAAAAATTGTTGGAGTTCATGCACATTCTGTGGCTCGCTGAGTTGTACAATGGCGTCCACCTTTTCTTTGTGAGTCGACAAACCCAGTCGTGAAACTTTCTGGCCAAGTAACAGTAAGGATTGATATCCCAAATGGCATTTTGCTGGTGATAATGTGATATTTGCCTGTGCAATTGCACTGAATATTTTTTCCAGATGATCAAGATGATCCTCAAAAGTGAGCGAAAATATTACAATATCATCGATGTACACCAAGGCGAATATCCAGAGAAAT